CCCAAACGTAATTTTGCTGGATTTTTATAATTAAATAATTAAAATAATTGAAATAATTGAAATAATCGACTTTACCTGTATTATTAACAACATCTTGTTTTGAAAGAAACGGATAATTAGTGTCAAAATGTTTTTCGTGTGATTACTTAAATTTTAATAATTTTTGGTGGAGAAAGGTGGATATTACTATATATACTCAGATCAATTTTTAAAAATTTAGTTAAGATGAAAACATTTGTAAGAGATTTTAAAGATCCTATGTTACCAAAAAAGAATATACACATAATTTCTAATGAACTACTATCAACGACTATTGACAGTGATGTAGAAGTTGTCAGTGGATGTTTCGAAACAATAAAACCAATTGGTTTTACGTATTCCTATAATATTTCCAACGAAGAAACGGGAGAAACCGAGGAGCAACAACAAAAAGAGCAAGTTATTGAAACGAATATCAAACATGATGATGGTCTAAATCAACAAGTGAATGATACTAATGCTGAAAGTGATAGTTTTAAGCATGATACTTCTAGAATTACTGAGCAGAATTATCATATTGATGACAGTGACACTGAAAGTCAAATCGATGAAAAAACAAAACAATATGTAAAAGTAATGTATAACAGTATGGGTATTTTTGAACAGAAATTAAAACGATATATGGAAAAACGTGACAGATATGATAAAAAATGTCGAATGTATAGAAAAATTATTAAACGTTTTATAAATCATTGTCAAGACACTTTGTAAATACTATTATTAAATTTTTTATGAAATGTTATTGTGCAATTTATTGAATTTAAAATAATAAAAATCGTTAGATTTGGAACATTATGGAGTTTTCGATAGTATTTAAACACCATCATAAACAAAAATTAACACATTTTTACTAATAGTGATAATGGGAACACATATGTTAATTCTTCAAGCCATTTGGTTTAATTATTTTTATATTCACCACCCATATAATAGTAGAGAAGTGTTTATTTGTTTCGATAAAAATGGAACTAAAAATGAGAGCTGGCCGGATAATTGGAGTAGAATGATTAATTATTCACCAAATAATACACATCTTTATACTGTCAAATTACCACAAAATAGCACAGTCTTTAAATTACGAATTAGATTGAATAATGTAATGGAAGAGACAGATTGGCGAAATTTATACCCCTCCTTATTCAAAACGAAAGAAAATGCGTTGACAGTTAAAAATAATTCAATTCAGTGGTTGTCTTACTACAGTGCACTTGTTTTAACAATATTATTACTTGAAAAAATATTTTCAATCTGTGAATTTTGTTACAAATGTGTGCTGAAGAAGAGTTTTCAAATTCTTTCGACAGTAGATTAGCAAGTTTTAAAAAATGGAAAGGTGTTGTATCCCCAATCCAATTAGCATTAGCTGGTTTTTACTATACCGGAATTGAAGATTGTGTTAGATGTTTTTGTTGCGGTATTGAAGTTTTTAGATGGAAATTAACTGATGATGTGATTGATGACCACATAAAGTATAGTCCCTACTGCAGCTACGCTAAGATGTTGGAATCTTCTCATAAAAAAGTTGATAAAAGTGGTCTTAACCTTTTTTATATAAATATTTTTATACTCGTTGTAAATATAATAATGTTTGTAACTTAATATATATAAAAATAAAACATTAATAGATATTTGAATTTTATTTAATACAGTTCTCTGTAAAACCGATTTATTTAGAAAGAAGATAGTTGATACATTAGAATAGATTAAAATAGAGGATTAGTAGATTAGAACACTAGAATAGTGTAATAGTTGAATAGAGAGTAAAATAATTACTCTATACTTGACGCGTTTGGAAGACGGAGTAATAAACACATTAATCAGCCGAAGTCCACCCGGGGTGTAAACGAGTCGCCGATATCACTCACTCCCCATTGGCCGGCCTAAAAGTTGATACTCTGTGAATGGTTTTGAGTAATTGTAGGCGATGTGCGAAATTTCTATCGATCGAATCGATCATTGTACAGGATTTTGCCGTACAGGGGTAGGGATATTTTGGAACCGCCTGACATTTTTATTACTCCGTCTTCCAAACGCGCCAAGTATAGTTTACTCTCCTTTTCGAAGGAAATGATAATCAGTCTCGTTTGCAGTATAGTCCGGTATACACTCTTTCTTTACTCCTCTTTATGCTTTAACACCCAACAATCTTTGATCTTGAATGATATTAAACCTTGGTTGAACTTGATCTTGAATAACCTTTAACCTTGATAGATCTTTGACCTTGAATAACCTTTGACCTTGATAGCTCTTTGACCTTGAATAACCTTTGACCTTGAATAACCTTTCACCTTGAATAACCTTTGACCTTGAATAACCTTTGACCTCGAATAACCTTTGACCTTGAATAACCTTTAACCTTGAGGGAGGGTTAATGACCTCGGGTGACCTACTTAAAAGAGAAAGGTTGTCCATCAAGTAACGAGAGAGCAAATGAGGAGAAATCGGAGGAACCGGTTTTACTTAAAACTGGGTGACCTACTTAGGAACCGGTTTTGTGTGACCTACTTAAAAGAGAAAGGTTATCCATCAAGTAATGAGAGAGCAAATGAGGAGGAATCGGAGGAACCGGTTTTACTTAAAACTGGGTGACCTACTTAGGAACCGGTTTTGTATGACCTACTTAAAACTGGGTGACCTACTTAGGAACCGGTTTTGTATGACCTACTTAAAACTGGGTGACCTACTTAGGAACAGGTTTTGTGTGACCTACTTAAAAGAGAAAGGTTATCCATCAAGTAATGAGAGAGCAAATGAGGAGGAATCGGAGGAACCGGTTTTGTGTGACCTACTTAAAAGAGAAAGGTTATCCATCAAGTAATGAGAGAGCAAATGAGGAGGAATCGGAGGAACCGGTTTTGTGTGACCTACTTAAAAGAGAAAGGTTATCCATCAAGTAATGAGAGAGCAAATGAGGAGGAATCGGAGGAACCGGTTTTGGAGGTTGCGAAACCGGAAGTAAAACCGGTTCCTCCGATTCCTCCTCATTTGCCCTCTCATTACTTAACTACTTAAGAGTTTTTTTAACACAAACTGCCAGCTGAATTGTAATTAGTTATTTGATAAGATATACACGAAACAAAATCGCAAGTGACTATATAAATCGAAAAAAATGTTAGGTAAACACGCAGCAATTTATGACAATAATCCCGAAATCAAAATAAAATTCTCTATATTTTTTTCGATTGCATATTTTTTTTTCGACCGATAGCATTATCACCTGTGCGCGCCTCTGCCGCACATGGTTCCCATCTCCGGCTGGAAAGAGGGCAAGCCTAGGAACGTACACACAGTATAACTCACATGTGTGATAATTATAGTACTCCACGCATTTATTTTAGATCCTAGAAGCACTGCGTTGGTTTTGGTGTCCCCTGTCGCAGGCATGGCCTACAACGCGAAATTTCACTCGACGGCGACGCGAATAATGGTTAAATCGTGGTGCAAGTGGTGATTTCGAGTGAAATTTTCGATTGCGAGTTTGCGGCGTGAGTTTTTTTTGAATTTTGGTAGGTGCAAAGTGCTGTTAGCGCCTTTTGTTGCGGACGAAATCGGTTCGTAAAAGCTATTTACTTGTGACCTGCTTCGCCAAGTTTTTGAAAATTCGGGACGATTTTATGCTGCAATCGTTTATTTTTGTAGTCGTTTGTGTTATAAATTTTATATAAATACCAAGCAGTAGAGGCTGTGTGTATTGTACATTTCGAGAAAATTTCAGTTTTTTTTTTGAAATTTTTAATTCTTCATAACTTAAATTTCATTAAGTTGTCTTGTTTGTTTACTGAAAGTTTCTTAAAAAGTATAAAATGGAAACATGTTTTTTTAATTTGGCAATATCATATTATCATTTGACAATAATTTAATTTTGATAACAGAATTTGCAAGAATTATTTTTCAACTTAGTGCGTCATTTTATTACTATTTTTATTCATTACAAAAGTATCTACATACTTGTTAAAAATAACAAAATTTGTAATAGTCAACGTAAAAAAATTAATTAGATACGATCAATAGTTTTTGTTAACCAATTATCATTTTTTTGTATTGATTTGATATTTTGATATTTTTCTAAACAAATCTTTTATTCAAACTTTTAGATAAATTTTAGTGATTCATTTTATTATTATTTATTACAATAGTATTAATTTGTTATAAATAATAAAATTTCAATAATGAACGTTAAAAAAATTAGATAAGATACGAATTTGGTGGTATTATTAACCAATTATCATTGTTTATATTGATTTGAAATTTAGAGAGCATTTTATAAAACTTTAGTAATATTGAGAAATAAGGAGTAATAATAGGTACATACAGAAAGTATTTGCTTTATTATGTACTAATCTGTTTTTTGTAGTAACCCATATGAAACGAATTATTCTTTTTAAGCATAACCTATCGAAAATATCATTAAATGTGAATACGAAAAAAACTATTTTATCTGCCGAATTAAATTAACTATTTCCTCTTTTATCCAGAAAATCTAATTAGATGGCATTTTTATGTCGTGATGATAACTAAACGATCGCCACCAAAGTTGAATTTATTTTAAAAGTTCTTTGAATGTTACACATAAATTAAGCCTTACAATATCTTTAACAATTCAAATTTTATTTTATCTGTTTCACTATCAATCTACGCGAATATTATGGGAAAATTTGATTTATTCCTAATTATTGACATACTGTGCTCAAGATAATTAGAATGTTACATAAATGTGACGAATTATTATATTAGTTCCACCAGAAAGATTTAGTAAATTTATTTAATATGTTTAACCAAACGAGATAAAATGATTTAAATATTTACATCTATTATACTACTGTTATTTTTGTATGCAATGAAAAAGTAAATAGTACCTAGCTACATACCTACCAAATTTATCGTACTAATTGAGAGATTTTGACATAATTGTAATTTTTAAATTTAATCGTATATTGCATCATTTTCCAAGCAGTAGATAAATAAATCTCGAGTTAATCGCTGCAATAAATTCTTCTAGCAGAAAAAGAATATATAATAATTTTACGATCTACTTTCCTAACTTGGTTTCGTCGAAATTTTGTTATAAAATTTAAATATTTTGTAGAATACCCTTGGTGAAATGAAGGTTATGAAAGGAAGTAGATATTTTTAGCTCATTAATTAGCGTTCAACTTAACATGCCGCGTATAATTTTATCGTACTTTTCGCATATGCACACCTTCAACAGAAACTGAAAAGCGGCTATCAAAATGTTGATAATTAAAAAATATACTTACCTACAAAACAACAATATCATCAGACTTATTTAATAATAACAATTCGTATAAACATACATACCGTTTCGATACCATAACATATTTTTCATTAGGTGAAATCAAAATTCAATAAAACTACACTTAGTATAAAATAACTTCTTTATTTGTTTGTTATAATATGCCGTACACCAATTAAAACTGAAAAACAACGTTTAAATTCAAATACCATTAATATCTAACAAACCATTACGAAATTCCCTGCTCAGTGCATAGGTAATTTTCATACTTTCATTAAATGTTTAAACAAAAACGATACAATAAAATCCAAAACCGCCGTTCGAATGGCAACATTACCCGACGTAATAGGTAATAATGTTAATAGTGATAACAATACTTTGGTGACCTTCCCAATGATTTTTGTACCTTACTAATGAGCAAGTGTACGCATACACGGAGAACGGATTTTTTTCGAGGAGACTAAAATATCAAACGTTTAGCTAATAAATTATTATTATGACAACAAATTAGATAGGCAGTAGGTGTAGCCATTTTGTAATTTTTATGGGGTTTTATGTGGTAGTTACTACATGATTTTGGATGTTTTTAAACAATTAATTTCTTCGTCAAAATCAATTAACTTTGTAATTTAATGGGTTACTAAAATTCAAAGAAGTTTTTCAAATTTTCCATCATAAAACGTTCTCTCCGCCACAAAAATCACATTAGTAGCTTCCCGAGTTAATCAATGAATAATTAAATAGGTTTCCGGGAATTACATTTACGCGAAAGAAAGAAAAAAGTTACACTTTTGTAAGAAACTGATGCATAAATTGCGCAACTAACTTGTCAATTAAATAATCCCCAGCAGATCGATTAATTACATCACGAACATTCCCTTCGATAAAGCAGTGACAAAATCGAATTAAACCAGATTACAATTATGACGCACTGTTAATTAGTCTCCAATAATATCGGCATTCACTGCTCGACGTCGGGCAATTTCCTGTTTCCCATCGCGCGCCGCAATTACATCAAACGCGCTTATGCAAATCGAAAATGGCCGGCACAAAAAAAAACCGCCGTCGAAAATCGCCGCCATCTCCGCCCATGCCGAGCTACCTGGTACACACTATCAATTATATTGTTTATTTTATTGTACCTCGTACTCTTTTTTCGCGAGCACGTCGGGCACGTCACAAGTCAAACAGCTTTTTGCGCCAGCATTCAGTACCGTCAAATGCTCGCGCTGAAACCGAGCGTATTCCGCATTTCCAGAATGAGACGGGCGGCCGAAAGCGACGATGAAAAAGTTCATATCGACGAAAATTAACAAGCAGCAATGGCGCATCACGGTGCCCAATCTCAACTCGACCATATTCAGGCGGTCACCGTCCAAGGAGGACGAGAAGACGTCGAAGCGCTCCTCCGGGTTCTACGATTTCGCGGAAGCCCAGCAGGTGTACGATCAGACCAGGAGCTTGCCTAACAGCGTCTACATGGAAGCAGCCTCGTCCTCATCGTCGTCGTGCGAATTCGAAGACGCCAAAGGGGAGTTGGAGTTCCCGGCGCGCCCCGAAACGGTTTGCGCCAAAATCGAATCCAAAAACACGGAAGAGAATAACGGCCAGTTCGAGTACGACGTGCCCAAAATCAGCTTCAAATTCTTTGGTAAAGACGACCAAACCGCCTTGGAAACCAACACGGATGAGACCGATAACGAAATATCCCTGAGGGTAGCGGAAAACAACACGTTAACAGTTATAGTGCCGGACTGTGTTTCGCTTCAAGAGGAGCTTCTGGAGGAATACGATGAGCTGCCGCCGTGTCATCCCAGCGAAAAGTTCGTTTCCCAAACCGAGATGTTCGTGAGGAGCTTGGAGGACATCCCCGTGACCGCCCTAAAATCGGCAGGGAGCGACCCTAACCTCGCGATAACCATCAAGCACGTCGAGGACGAGGACGATTTTTACCAGGTCCCTAGGCCTCTAAAGGTCACCAACAGGCTCTCGCAGTCCCTAAAAGAATTCGATACCATCAACAAGGAGAATCCCCCGGACCTCGTCATCTTATCGAATCACTCGAGCCTATCCAGCATTGAACACATCTCCGCCAGCCAGATCATCAACATCTCCGAAGAACCCGCCAGAATCTCCTCCAACAATTCCAAAAGCGCTTCGAAACTGCCGAAGCTGAAGAAACCGAAAATACTAAAAATCGAAAATTGGGACTACTTCAAGAACAAATTCAACGCCTTGATGCAAGAGCAGGCCGCGAAGCAGCGGGTGGGCGCCTTCAATGATAAGGAAAAGCTCACCATCAACTTTGAAGAAATGTACAAAAATTCGAAAACTAAGTGCAAAAAGATCTTTGGGAACACCAGCAAGATGTTCAAGAAGAAACCCGACATGGCGAGCTCCGATCCCGCCTTTGTGCGGAAAGTTAAGGCTAGTGACATTGAATATATGCTCAACTATAGTGCTAATAGTGATAATTCGACTAGTGCCAAAGAGAACGGTAACGGTGTTAACGAGAGCAATCATAATAGTAGCAACGGAACCTTTAGCGAGACTGATTTGAACAATACGGGATTATCTAAAATTTCTTTAAACGGAACTGCCCTGAACGATAGTAGTTTCTCGAACGAGAGTAAAGTATCAGCGGAAGACAGCAAGAAGGACGATTTCGATTTTGGTGCCATAAAGAATGCCATTAAGAAAAAAATCCACTCGCAGGAGGTGAGTTATACGTTGTGAAAAATTGATTGTTTTCTTATCAGATTCCCACTTTAACTTTGTCATTTTTTTTCAATCATTAAACAATTAATCTTTATTACATTCTATGGGTTTACTCGAGCCTTTCGGGAGGAACCCGTTTTCCTCGCATTTTTCAACGTTTCACTTTAATTAGGCACTCGCTTTGTTGACCGGCCAACAGGTTTGTATATGATCGATGAATTATAATCACAAAATAACTTAATCTGCTTGACCTATCGTGCTAGGCGATGTTTATCTAAAATGCGATAAAATTTAATAAAAGAGAAATTTAATTATGCAGACCGAATAGGCCGAAATGTGAAGAGGTTAAAAGCTCACTACGTTTCATCCTACGTTCTAACATCCGAATTTTTGTTAGTCATATTTAATTAATTAGAAACTACTTTATTTACTTTATTTATGAGTTATTTGATACGTAAATTTGCACAAACTAGATGTACATATTTGTATTTCAATTGAACTTTAAATTATCTCTCTAGCATATATTATTTTGATATTTTCTTTAAAAGTTATGTGGCGATTTACAAGTTAAATTTACTTAAATACACATTATACTATTTGATTACTAATTTGTGTTTTTTATTACATTGCTAATAACTCATTGTGTGGCAATATTTTATTGAAACAAATTCGTATTGTACATTATTATTAACACGCAATAAAAAATATAACGACTTAAACACCAAATCCGAAAGTGTAGTATATTTCCAGAAAATTTCCACAGCAACAAATCATTTTATAACGGAGTACAGCCAATCCGAGTACTTACTAACGTCGGTAAAAACAACGTACAAACTCAAATCACACCCTAACACTGGTACGCCCGAAGCCAAGGACAGCGACACCAATCCCCTCAGCGCCCACTGCCCGTTTCTTCTGATCATCAATCCGCCGCCGCTGTCCCCGTTGCAGGGTCCCGATCCGTCGTTGTTTCCCGCGCACAGCGTCCTGCTCGAGGTGACCGCCGCGAATTGCGGATGGCTCCTCAGGCACTGCTCCTGCGACACTATCGGCATTTTCGCGAATTTCGGTTGGCTCAAAGACAGCACCCCTTTCTCGGTCTTGCCCCAACCCGCCACCACTCCTACCTCTCCGACTACAGCTTCGATGCTGTCGTCGCCGGACCACAAACACGCCGGTTTGATCGATTTGTTCAACACCAAGTCGTTCTGTAGTTCTATCACGGCTATGTCCCCGTCGGCTGATAGAAATTTGTAGTCGTTGTGTGGTTGAATGCTGGCAACTTTCAGCATGTCTGCCGCCCCCATGCCGGACAGGTCGCATTTTCCCAGCACCACCAGCAGGTCCTTCGGATTGGCCGTTTGCTTGTTGCTGTATCTAACGCAATGAGCCGCTGTTACTATGTGCTTTAAAGTGATCAACGTCCCTCCGCAGATGAAGCTAGGTCCGTCGGTTTTCACCGAAAATATAGCTGCTAACCATGGAAACGTGCCTTCTTCAAGGTCTTGTCCGTTCACTATCAGCTTATTGACTACAGGTGTTAATCCACAAATACCCTCATCATCTGTTGGAAATTGTTGTGTGTAATAGTTTCCTGTTGGGAATTGTTGTCTGTAACCATTTCCCATTTGAAATTGTTGTCTATAGCCATTTCTTGTTGGTAATTGTTGTCTATAACTACCTCTTACTGGCTGTTGCCTGTATTCTTCTCTGTAACCATAGAAATCATTAAAGCGAGATCGGAATGGGGACGGTTCCTGGAGAGGATCGTACCTTGAGTAGCTCGGATAATCGTCCCAGAAATAATCTTGATGATGATGGTCGTCGTGGTGGTGGTCTTTATGGTGCTTTTTCGGCGTGACTCTGTTTATTTCGATTATAATTATTAAACACACCAAACAGATATTCAACATTGGATGCATAACTGTTATAATAAACACTTTGACTGATGGTTACTTTGGAATTACAAATTTCAAATTTCACCTAGATTAGATTATAATTGCTATTTAATTATTAAACGATTCTTGAGTGTTTCTGGTTTGTTACGCCCGTTTCGATTAGTAGTGTAGTGAATTTGACTGAAAGTTTTATCACGATCGTAGCGAAGAAAATACTAAATTGTCGTCGTTAATTCAGATTCGATCATTAGGTACACTAAAGTTAACTAAATCAATTGTTATACAATCATTTTACCAAAAAAATTACTCGTTGGAATAGCTCTCAGATTTCGCCTATGTGTTAAACGAATACATTTGCATGAAATTTTGATCGGTCGATCAATATGAATAACTGATCGATACATTAAAATCGTTAAACTGATGATATAATACAAATCCTCGATAATGGATTGTTATCGAGATGAAGAACGACAAATGTAGGCGGGGTCGTGACAAATAATATTAAAGTATCGTTCTTAAAAGCATTAACTAAACAATAAATGTCAATTAACAATCGGATTTTAAAGAACTTCGTGGGCGAGCTTCGTATGTATTATATGCAAAATGCTGAGGTAAATTCAGAGAGCGACTTGTATATTGTGCTTTAATTTTTTTTATAGGTAACAGTTGGTGATTTTTCTAATTTATTTTTGCTCGTGTTACAGGGTCAAAACGGATTTGAAGATTTAAGGAGATACGTCAAGCAAGGGGAAGATTTTTGCAAAGAACTGTCGCAGATTCTACAAGAAAGGTAATCTTGCAATTTCAAAATCATATAAGTAATACCACTGACCTTTATTTTCCATATTACGATAGGAAATTATATTAATTGGTATTAAATTTCTTTCAATTTCTTCAAGGAAAAATCAACATAAATATCGATTAAGTACTTTCCAGTAAATATATTTAATTCTAATTAATAAATCGTTTGTTTAACGATCCCAAAAATTAACTTCCAACAATTATTTCAATTTTTTTAGATAATATTTCATGCCAGTGCGTCATTTGCTCTACAAATTTAACGAGAATAAAATTGTTTACGCATGAAAAACACTTTTAAATTCGATGAATTTGTTTCTCTTGCAGAATCGATGTGGAGTCTCAATATGCAAAGAGCCTTTCCAAATTAAGCACCAAACTTTCACGGGCGTGCCGGGAAAACGTGGGCGGTTTGAACGAAGCTTGGAAAGCAGTAGCCATAGAATTGGAAACCAAAGCCGAGGCGCACAGGCTGCTGGGTGTAGCATTGCAAGAAGAAACCGCCAAGCCCCTCAGAACCCTCACCGAAAACCAACACAGGTCACATATTTACTAACTATTTCATCACCAACAACCAATTTCAGCCAAATTAGCACCTACATTAAACGTTTAATAACTATTGTTGTAGGATCAGGAAAAAATGCGAAGCCCGAGTGGACAAATCGGCGAAACTTCTATCAGACTACCGGGCGAGCGAAGCGAAAGGAAAGAAAAACAGCCACTCGTGCGCGAGGGAAAACGAAAAGCTCCAAGATGCCGCCGTCTTGGACACAACCAAGTACGGCAAACAAACGTAATCTAATTTATCACCTTCCAGTTACATGCAGAACCTTTAATTTCTCATTAACCGTTGCAGGATTTCGAAAAGTTCTAGTCTCATTCATTTGGCGCAAATCAAGCAGAACAACAACGACGGTTCAAAGGTAAAAGGACGTTTTCTTTTCACGTAAATTAATCTCAAAAAAAACCGACAGGTACTTATTATAAGCGCGCATAAATTGACGGTCGATCGAATTGAATTTTCATGTAATAATAACACGCTATTCGATAATTATTATTTTCGTTTCGCTTACCTCGCAATTCGTGTTCCAGTTGGAGGGGAAGAAGCGCAAAGCCGAAGACGCCGTTAAAAAGGCCGACGAGGAATACTACATGCTTTGCGTGCGAGCAGAGAGAGCAAGGTACTCGATTCTTTTTAATTTTCCCGCATAAAAATTCCTCGCAAGGCAAATAGAGTGATTAAGGCGATGATTTAGCGACGCAGTCGCGACCAAAATAAAACCTTAAGGTCACTTATGCGTCTGCATCTACTTAAAAAAATATTCTTGGTATTTAATAATTTGCGATGAAGCCGGTTCTCTTTAGGGTAAATTTAATTAAACTCGATCTCCAATAATATTGTAATTATAGACTTGAATGGGAATCTGCGGTCCTTCGCGGTGCTAGCACGTTCCAAGCATTGGAAGAAGAGAGGTTGAAGAATCTCAAATCTGTCCTTACCTCTTACTTACACCACAACAATTTCGTTGGACCGCGATTGATAGAAGTGAGTACTAAGCATAAACATCGTAGCGCCCGAATAACGCTTGTTATTGCAGGCCTCGCAGAGATTGAAAGGCCCCGTGAACCAAGCAGAGCCAGCCAAAGACTTAACCACCTTCCAGAATTTGAGGCAGTCATCGCAGCAAGTGTCCGAGCAGCTCCTGCCGGATTTCTACTGCGAGCACACCACATTGGCAATGAACACGGAGAGAAGGAAACAGGTGAGTCGCGAAATGAACGCTTTCGTTGCGAAATTATGAAATTTCGATGCTTCCAGGCGTTGCTGAAGTTATTGAAATTGATTAGAGACGACGTCGACCGGGAGAAAAAATCCAAAGTCGGGTTAGAAAATCTCACGGAAGCTATCAAACGTTTCGGATCGGAGGATACTCAGAAGGTTGCTGAAAAGTTGTACCAGGTACAAGCTTACAAAAATCTTTGATTGTATGGTATTTATGTAATTTGTGCATTTTCTGTAGATTAAATCAATGCTGGCGTACCTGGAAGGGGCGAAATACAAAGTGCAGAATTCGCTATTGGAATTGGAAGGCAGACCAAGAGATGAGCATCCCTTTGCACCACACATAACCATCACGAGAGATAAATCTGGACTTCAACAAAGCGTGTTAAAGGTACATTTTTAATCAATACTACTGTGACGAAAAGTATCCGGAAAATTGGAATAAAACGCCTTTTCGAATCATCGAAGCATTTTTATAGCCCCTTTTTGGTATGCCTTTTAGCTCCTTCTGTAAGTTTTGTTTGATGGAATTTATAGGTAATTTAAATCAGAATTTCCGGGTCCTTTTATGTCAGAAGGTATTACAAAACATTACTTATCATATTTTACAACTCTTCGGACCTTCTGTGTTTAGAACTATTCTAAGACACTGTAGGTACTCATGTAATCTTTCAATTGCTGTTTCTAAAGGTTCCCCAATGGCTGAAAGACGAATGGAACGATTTGAACAAGAGCCCAATAAGTCAAAAATCGACGAAATCGAACCAATCGGACAATTCCGATCCTCACAACAACGACGTAGACGACTCAGAATGGCTAGATAGAGGCACCGCCGACGGGAATTCGAACCAACACGACTCCGATTTCGGTACCGCGAATACAAACCAATCCTAACGCGCACTCGCATTAACTAAACGTATTTTCCATTCCAGACGAATTTTCCTCGAACTGCAGCAGCGCGGGGGAAAACTTCCACACGTCCGAGGACTCTCCGATGGATCCCATAGCCACTTGTCGGGCTATCTACGCGTACAAGCCGCTGCTTCACGACGAGCTCCCTATCAAGGTGGGCGACATCATCACGGTGTATCGGCAGCAGGACGACAACTGGTGGCTGGGCGAGTGCGGCGGAAACGTTGGAATTTTCCCGGCTAACTACGTTGAGCTGGTACAAAAGTGAAATCGAAGGTCGGGAAAAGTGGATCGGAGTCGAATTATTTAATCGTTCGGACTTGGAGTGAGAGAGTCGGAGAAAACAATACAGGGTTTTTGTTAAGAAAAATCGTTTAAAATAAACTGCTCCACAAAAGTTAAGGAAGTTCGCAAATTTTGCGATTATTTTAAAAGTTACCGACTTTTTGATCACCGAATTTTCAAATATGCGAAATTAAATGTTTTCTCTCATATCTGAGTGGATTTTTTGTCCCTACCTCTCCAACTCATACTAAATTGATCAAAAAACGATCAAAAAACCTCCAACTTTTAAATTAATCTCAATATTTGTGAGCTTCCTTAAATTTTGTGGAGCAATGTAAATGCCGGATGTAAAGCAATAATAAGTCATTTTAAAATACCTACGAAGCGATTTATTTTTATTATTGTAAATATATTTGTAGAATTTTTATAATACTAGTAGAACACGCGCAGTTTATTTAAATGTATTGTGTTGTATATATCAAAAATTTTTAACAATACTATTGTCTAAATATACCATCACGTTTTTTTATTGTTCAAATTAACTTCACAGTATTTATTATTACATAAAGTTTAACATATACTTATATCTCATATACATACTCAAAACTGATATTTTACTGTACGGTCGATTATTTTGTAATATTCAAGCTGAATAGGTAAGTTTATTAATTTTTGTTTTTTAAAATTAATAAATATTTTTAATTATTTAATTTAGATGAGTTTCAATAAAACAACCCGATACCAATCAAAACTAATTACTTGTAGTTTTTTTCTAGTCTAAAGGATACATAATTAATTTTCATGAATGATAATCAAATATAATTGAAAGTGACTTATGAATGAAAGTTTAGTTTGTTAATTCTTTAGTTTGTTATTTAGATTGTTAGTTTGCTAGTTTACTAGTATGTTAGTTTAGTTTACTAGTGTGTTAGTTTACTAGCTTGCTAGCTGACTAGTGTATTAGTTTGCTGACGGCTAGTTTACTAGTTTGTTGGTTCACTATAGTTTACTTGATTGCTTGTTCACTACTTTGCCAATTTACTAGAATATTAGTTCTTAATTAGTTTGCTAGTTGACTAGTTTACTGCTTTACTAATTTACTAGTTTAAATCTATTAGTTTACTGGTTTGTTGGTCGATTAGTTTACTAGTATATTAATTTGCTGGTTGACTAGTTTTCTTGCTTAACTTTTCCAGTTTACTAGTGTTTAGTTTACTATGTTACTAGTCGACTTAGTTTACCAGTTTGATTGTTTACAACTTTCCTAGTTAACTAATGTATTAGTTAACTAGCTTACTACATACTTTGCTAGTTTGCTGGAATATTAGTTTTATAGTTTTATAAAGAATCCGAGAATCGAATTATCCAACAACGCAATTTTCTATTGGATTTTTAAGATAAAAATACAATCCCCCGAGGCTTATCGTATTTTTCTCGATCGACAATTACCGAGCACACTTTTCCAAATAGGTTATGTCATTGTGGGTGTGTCAATTTCAAAGCACACTTATGCCTGTCGGTGACAAATCGTCTTTACGTTCCGTGATTTGCACGGCCACGTGACCGTCTCACGTGCCGTACACGAGAGGCCCCACTTACATGTGTCAAACATAGTTTTGCGGCACGGCCGACCCTGCTCTATCCCGTCGCTCCTCCGCATCTAGCCACCGGGCGAGGTTCAATTGTTCGGAAAGATAAGCCAACTGGATAGGATTGAGCTTTTCGTTTGTTCCGCGCCGCGTCATGAATGTTATTTGCTAGTATGTTTGTTGGTTTATGCAAGTGTGTGTGATCTTTATTTAATTTTTAATCTGGGTTTTGATGGGATTTCGACCGACGATTCAAATTAGCGGTTCGCGATTGATCGCTCAATTTGATTTTCTCATGGTATTAATTCGGTGGGAATAGATTCGAATTAATCTAAGAGTATATATAAAAAAATTAAATTTCGATTGTTTGTTTAGTCCTTGTAGATTCGAAAACAACTATAGAGAATAAATATTTTTTTTGGTATATTTAATGCATAAAAATTGGAGAATTGAGAGTTGAAGAGTTGGAATAGGTATTGAATTTTGAGCATTTTTGATTCTTAAAGAAATTTGGATTAAGAAAAAGACAGGAAGGAATTTATAATAAAATTCATGATTTTCTCAAATATTCAAAGAAAAATTGAACAGAGAGAATTAAAATTCCTGTTCCACATTTCAGAACTCTATATTCCTATTATTTCTTTTTCCTATTTGATTGGTCTATCATCCTTTAGTCCTGTATATCCTTCAAATCCTGTAAATATTTAAATAAATTTATATTTTCTACATATTTCTTATCCCTAGATAGTACAACCAAAATCATCCCAATGAAAGTAATAATAATTGCTATCTAAACTGTGAGAAAATTGCGGGACAAACACAACCGAATCGAATGCACCAGCATCAGCTCCAGATAATAAATTAACCCACGGATCCCAACGAGGCAGCGCCAGAAAATGAATTCAAGTAGCCGTGAAATCGGTGGTAAATTCCACGTTTGCTCTTCCTTCGAATCAATAAGGATCTCCGCCTATTTCCCGGGCGATGTAGCCGACACGTGACCGTATCCTGCCGGCGCGAGGGGACCCAAATGTGACGACAGTTTAAATATTAACCATGCCAAAAAGGGGGTGTGTTGCTTGGAATTTAAAGGAGCATCAAAAATCCAAAATGTTTACAAAGCTCTCCATAATGTTATAAAAGAATAGCTCAAAAACTACCTCATTTTTTTTCTCTAAAAAATCACTAAAAATACAACCACTCAATAGAATAACCCCCTTAGCAATGAAACATCTACTAACTTGTAAGTGAGCAAAAATGAGACCAGAGTAAAAACTGCTATTAATTGTTAGTAACATTTCGAAAATTTGATGATAACTCTTTAAAAAAAATTATCCATTCAAAAGTTAGCGCTCGTCCCTTGCATTTTAAACACCCCTAATTTGCGAGGCCACGCTCCCGCGAGCGCGAGCAATATGTCGATGACAAAGGGTCGGCGGTTAAAGCGGCTCGATTCAGAAAATATTATAGCCCTAGTTTGGGCAGCGCCGGAGAGGGTGCGGGGTCGCGACTCCCCTGGGAAAGTTGCGGAAATACTATTATTACGCATTGTTGCTGGTTTGTTTGCAGACATATTCAAGTGTGGAAGATTACTGTCATTTTATGGGTTTAGTTCCGGAAAGAAGTTATCACGGATCGTCGTTCGGGTGGTTTTTATTAGGGGCGATAAATGCGCGTATAAAAAATATCCTATTATGTAAAGGACGTAACAGGTTTGATGGAAATTAATTAATCAATGGTAAGTGTGGGATGTATTTGTGAGAAGTCTATAATGTTGAAGAAATTGAAAAGTTACCTAAAAACATGATGGAAAGGTGTTTTAGGGTTTTGTTATTTTAGGAGCAATTTTCTAATTTTCATCATCTTTGCTCTATTATTATTTGCTATATTATTAGTATTCTCTGCTCTATATTTTAGTGTAATCTACTCTTATACTGATGCAATGGAATATTTTATAAATCAATGCACCAAGAATTTTGCTTGTAGTTTTTAACACTCATCCTACGTACAATTGATATGTACAGTTTTTTGATAGACTAAAATTAGTTTACTTCGATCACAAAAAATATTACATACACATATTTCAAAATTTCTTAGTTGGTAGGTAAATTAAATTAAAGTTTTCAGGTACTCAATTAGGTAGATATTTTTATTTTTCGATATGGAATTCCGATAAGGGAATAAAGTAAAGTACCACCTAAAAATGAATTATTAATTATTATTTTGGTGCGGAATTTCGGTGTACCGGTAAAAGTACGCACTTTAGGATAATTATACCTTCAAATACCATTAAAATATTGAATCTTCCGGGGTGTGTCAGAAGTCATTTTTCTACCTGTTCTATAAAAAATCCTCAATACATAAATTCTGTAGATCCAGTTTAGAGACTCGAAAATATTTCGATACACAGATCATCCTAGATTTACAATTTACACACAAAAGCATATTCTTAGACAAAGTAACAACAATTTAAACATTTAAACTCCTATAAATGGTGTGCAGTTTTCCTTTCGCAGCCACTGGGAACTCCTATTAACAAGGAATATCTGCAATTGATGGCTCGTTTTTGGACCTGTCAGGACCAAAACCGCTTCAAACGAACATAATTCAACAAATATTTCAACCCTTAGCCCTTACTCCATATTTACGTCGGCGCCAATCCCGTAACGTAATAGCCGGAGTAATCGTTTCGGGAATTTCCATTGGTTCACGTGCGGCATGGAAACCACCCCTAAATCAATAGAGAATATTCGACCTTATGGAGTTGAAAATTATGGGTTGTTGGCCTGTTGAGAAGTGTGCTCAATTCGGGGTAGTTTATGTATATAAACAGAATCCCCAGGGATTATTCTTCAGTTTAATCGTGATAAATCCCATTGGAAAAACATAATTCAATTTGGTGAGAAATTTGAAGTGTTTTGGTATTTTGTGATAAAGAGGAAAACGGAAAATAGTCAATATAGCTCCAGCCGTGTTTTTGAATAAACGTTCCAAAAAAATGACCAACCGAGGACATCAGTTACCAGATTCATCTTCATCACCACCTTCGTAAGTGCCTAGTTGTTTTTTATACAAACTTTTATACCGAAAATTTGATTAAAATTCGAAGAATCGAAAAGTATTAACAGTGTCTAAATGTACTTGTTATTTTGCATTTAGTTCGATTACTTAATAATATTTAATAAGTAGAAAATATTTACCTAAATGTTTAATTTTTTAGGAAAATTATTTAGTTATTATTTATTACTCGCATGCATTACACAAAAATTCTATATCTTGTATATCGTTGTATATCTAATCATCCTATTAAATTGTATTTTTATTTCCATCTTTTCTTTTTTTTAGTCAGCTCTTATAAATATAGTATATGTATATCACCAATTTATTGTAGAGTTAATTCATTCATTCGTTAAATATAATTAATGAAACAATATTGCATGCCAATTAACCCAATTATTAATTAGTTTCCATATTGGTCTAACTAGCCATCCTGTACAACTCCTATTTTATATTCTCTAGATTCTAGATTCTCATAAAATCATCGCATGATTTACTAATAAATAAAACACACAATCGTAGTAAAATTATAGCTACAGTTCGACAGGAATAGCTGAAGTCGCGAATTATCCGCTATTCCTGCAGGTCTGTAGGCAGCTAAATTGAAATACTCATATGTATACATACTATCGTTTCCGATGCACCACCCTATTGGATGTTGTCCCTATGTGTAACGCACTTTCCTTCCTTCTATTTTTAAGCTTACAATTTGGATATAGTGCAGGAGAGTTGTCCGAGGACGAGGTGTCCGATTTGCCGAGTTGCGCGTTCGCATCAAGGCCCTCTTCGAATTCCGGATTGCAGCACCATTACTTGACCGGTTTACATCACAATGCAGGTAAAAATAATACCAATCATTCTATAAGGATTAGTCTTTGCAACCCATGCAATTAATGCACATTGTAAGAAGATCAATGTGACCTGCGCAATAAACTTGCGCATCTTCCGTACCCAGCTTTTACTATCGCATCGTACCCATTTAACACTCATTACTATTCTACTATTTCTATTGCCTTCTACTATTTCTATAGTCTTTTACTATTTATGTAGGTTTTTAATTTTAATATTTCTTGATGTTGCTTGCAGATAGCCAGTGCGGTGGTCTTTCCAGTTCAGCAGATTACTATGGATCGTCTCCTTATAGGGTCCAGAGACATGCGGCTAACATCAGGGAACGGAAAAGGATGCTGAGGTCTGCTATTGGACCCACCGGGTACACCTGTCTTGATATGTGATTCATTGCAGATTATTTTTTGCTTTTTTTTGCTAATTTTGGAGAATGCTAGGCTGTGTGTAGGTAGTATTGTTTTGTTTTTAGTTTTGATAAGGCTTGGGTCTATCGAAACGCTTGAATTATTATTGAAGAAATACTTAATATTGAGCTCGTGGAGTAGAGCTTGAGGTTTTTTGATAGACTTTAAGCATGTAGCTTGTTTTTTTTTGTTATTTTTGCGCAATGTTGCTTGAAATTATCAATGAATTCATGACATTATTCCATAAAAATGAAAATTATCTCCAATTTCTCTGGATGCTACATCTACTAGATATCTAATTCTATGTAATACTAATTTCCCATTTGTTGATGCTTTCATCATCATCATCATCGAATTGATTTTATTCTTGATAAAATTAAAAATTGGATACACAGTCTGTCCCAGGATGACGTTAATGAGAATTACCATTCCAGAGTTACATTCCAGATTTTAATAAGCAAAACTTATTTTGTTTAGGTGGACTTTTTATAAAGAATGTCTTATCTAAAATAAGAGTATAAGGGATTTTTTCCTCTTTTCAACTCTATCTGGGGAGGCACTCTGTGATGACATCCAGTAAAACAAATTCCCTAATAGAAAAATACGAATCACAAAATTCTCCACACTGTATTTTCTAAATAATCCAGCTTCTGTTGAAGCAAATGGGAATTTCAAGCGCATTACACAATTTTTACCAAACAACACTACTAACGAGAGGAAATTACAAATATTCTATTTGAGTTTGGTTTGCAGCAGTATAAACTCTGCATTCGACGAGTTGCGAATGCACGTGCCCACGTTCCCCTACGAGAAGAGGCTCAGCAAAATAGATACGCTCAGACTGGCCATCGCGTACATAGCTCTCCTGCGTGAAGTCCTCACTGCCGACTGTGATCCTTTGACTTACGTGGAAAGATGCCTTAGAGGAGAAATTAAAGCCGATAGGGCGAACTGGAATACTAGTGGTAAGAGGGATGATTTTTACATAAAATATTTATTTAATATACACGGCTTAAAGGATATCAAACGACCATAAAAAGTTACATCCACCTCTTCTTTAAGGAAATAGAGTGATTTATAAATTTTTAAGAAATTTTCTTTCGCTTATATCGTCAGGGTGGTGAAATTTTTTTGGCAAATTCACGGTTATTGAGTTAATTCATTGAAAGGAAAAAGTAATTAGTCGTTATTATTAATTTTCATTAAAATTTGTATGATAGGAAATATCATTTTAATGGAAAAGATTAGATAATCCTAAATGATTTTTTAAAGTGGATTGTTGAATTGAAAATTTAATAAAAGAGATGCAAAAATTTCCGATAGTCAGGCTATACGAGTTACTTGTACCTTCTACAATAACCAAATGGGAATTTACAAAAAAATGCGTATACAGGGTGAATTATATTAGGTTTAAATAATTTACCTTTTTCTTGAAGGCGGTGCTGGATATTTTTAATTCTTTATGCCAATGTGTTGCTGGTTCACCAGCTATTTCCTTAAGGAAGAGTTGGCTGCCACTTTAAATGCTTATTTGATGTTACCCTAAAGTGCCTTTATACACTCTTAAAGTATGTACAATTCCTGACAACTCACTCTTTATATTGGCCACTCTACTCTATTTTACATACTTTAATTCAAATATTCAGCGTATAATGTTTGGTTTCAGATTTGACCGCTCGATTATCCTGGATAAATTGGGAAAACTTGGGAGTTACTCCGGGCCGACGCAGTGCAATAACCTCGTTAGCAATGAGCTCAGAAAACACTCAATGAATGTTTTCAACTGCTCGTTCAATTGACACCAAATTCATGTTGTATATAAGATGTATGTATCGTAGAGTTACAATTCATACATGTGCAATATAATTTTTGTATTCCGTTTATTTCGTAAGGTTTTAATAAAATATTATCGATAGATTCATGGTTTTATTAAAACGTTCTGATGAATAATAAAAACTATTTGAGGTAAGTAATTTAAAGAAACAGTAAATGCACAACTGGAATGAGATTTAATAACATGTATAACATTAAAAACATTTTTTTAAAATTCATCGTTCTCGAAAGGATGGTGAGGATGACCATAAGCACTGAAATAAACCACAATAAGACTTACATAAGATCCACATTTAGTACTTACGAGTCGACAAGAAGCAATCTTCCGTTACAATCGAAACTGTCGATATAAGCCATATCTTCTTTGTTCAAACTGAAATCAAAGATGTCGAAATTTTGTTGGATTCTGGCCTTGTTAACGGATTTAGGAATGACGATGAGGCCTCTCTCTACTTGATATCTCAGCACGATCTGAGCGGGAGTTTTATTGTGTTTAGCGGCGAATTCTTTGAGCTTGGGATCTTCCAAAAGTTGCGGATCGCCCGGCTTGACGAACGGACTATCCGGAGACCCCAGTGGGCTGTAAGCTGTAATAACAATGTCCTTAGACCTGCAGAAATCGATCAGCTTCTTCTGATTGAGGTAAGGGTGGCATTCGATCTGTAAATTGTATAATAATTATCAAGGAGTTGCCGTCGGAAATGTAAGGAATTACTAACCTGGTTACAAACAGGTTTCACTTTGGCAATAGCTAAAACTCTTTCGAGTTGCCTTTTGTTGAAGTTAGACACTCCTACTGATTTGACAAGACCTTGTTGCTGGAGTTTCTCCATTTCTTTCCAAGTATCTACGTAATCAACATCGCTGAATATTATTGAACCGTCTTCTCTTGTTGGAAAAACCTCAGCTCCCTCCTGTGGTGTAATAATTACAAGTAATGGGGTTAATAATTGTGTTATTCACCTTACTTTGTAAGCCATAGGCCAGTGAATGAGATACAAATCTAAATAATCCAAACCCAAATTCTGCAAAGTCTCTCTTAGAGCTTTCTCTACCAAGTCTGGTCGGAGGAAGGTGATCCACAATTTACTGGTAATGTAGAGATCTTCTCTTTTAACGGTACCGTCTGATATTTTAGCTTTAAGGGCTTCCCCGACTTCCTTTTCATTGCCATACAGCCAAGCGCAATCGATGTGACGGTAGCCTATATCGATGGCATCTTTAACAGCTTGAGCTACTTCACCAGGTGAGGACTGCGTAAATTAAATACAAAATCAGGGGCAAGTAGGAGAGCCCAAAATATGTTGTTTAACTCAACTTAATTAGGTAAATAAAGAGGTTTAAAATCGACCAATCCCAATGACATTATTGAAAGTTTTATATTGATAACTGCAATATCTAATGAATAGTATGAATACCACTTTGGTTTAAGAATTAATAGTTACTGCAAGGACTTGTGTCTGGTAATTTAATATGCAGTGTTCAGCTGTATGTTAACTAAAAATTCAATAAAATGGTATTAAGAACATGACTATTTTGGAAATATATGCTTATACAATGCGTAAATCACTGGAATATACTAAATTAATTGTTATAAATAAGATAGTTTAAAAGGCTGGAAAGAACATTAACAATGATTTGTAAGGTTACCTTCCAAGTTCCCAAGCCGAAAACAGGGTACTCCCTGCCATTGTTGAACTTGATTGTCGGTACTTTGCCCATTTTATTTTTAACCAACGAAATGTTTAAGAGAACACTTGCGAAGCGAAAAGAACGAATCGCAAAATAAAAGTAAATTTTTAAAAAGAATTACTAAATTGTATAGATAAACATAATTTATGTAAATATCGATCAAGTGCTTTGTTATCAGTTTATTTAATTTCACAGGCCGATACTTATTTACATTTACATACATACATTCTACTCAACTCAAGCTCAAAAAAATTGAAATCAATTTGCAAACTGTTAAAAAAAGTTAAAAAAGTTAAAAGTTATACATATTGGTTATGTTTTGTTGACGTTTATGAAATAATAAATAATACGTCCTAATCCTCTAGAGGAAAACAGCTACAAGTGGCTGTTGTCTTGTTAGTTATAAGTTCTCTTTTTGAAAATAATTTAAAATTTTTTTGTCAAGATAATTTCAACTTATATCAAGATAAAAGAAAGAAAATTTCGTAAAAATTAGTGAATCACCCTGTATTTCCTTTAAGAAGAGACGGATGCAACTTTAAATGGTCTCGTTTGATATTCCCCTTAATTGTCTCTATACACCCTGTATAAAATAAAAAGCTTTTCAACACAAGTTCAAAAACCTTTGACCATTTTAACAGTCACCCTACAAAAACCGCTTAGAAATCTTTAAGGAGATCGTCGTAAAGAATAATTTATAAGGTATGCATTTTTGGAAAGTGTTTTAGACAAAAAAATATCCTATAAAAATATACTATAGTGCTCAAAATAATATTTATTCACATACATAACTGGAATGCAATTTAATAGAATGTATAACATTAATATACATTTTTTTAAAATTCATCGTTCTGGAAAGGATGGTGAGGATGGCCATAAGCACTGAAAAAGGTACAAATTATTACATTTTAAAGCTACCACTTACCACTACTTACGAATCCAAAAGAAGCAACCTTCCATTGCAATCGAAACTGTCGATGTAAGCCATATCTTCCTTGTTCAAACTGAAATCAAAGATATCGAAATTTTGTTGAATTCTGGCTTTCGTAACGGATTTAGGAATGACGATGAGGCCCCTCTCTACTTGATATCTCAGCACGATCTGAGCGGGAGTTTTTTTGTGTTTAGCGGCGAATTCTTTGAGTTTGGGATCGTCCAAAAGTTGCGGATCGCCCGGCTTGGCGAACGGACGGTCCGGAGACCCCAGTGGGCTGTAAGCTGTAATAACAATGTCCTTAGACCTGCAGAAATCGATCAGCCTCTTCTGATTGAGGTACGGGTGGCATTCGACCTATAAGTTGTATAATAATTATTAAGGAGTTGCCGTTGGAAATGTGAGGAATTACTAACCTGGTTACAAACTGGTTTTACTTTAGCTATAGCTAAAACTCTTTCGAGTTGCCTTTTGTTGAAGTTAGACACTCCTACTGATTTGACGAGACCTTGTTGTTGGAGTTTCTCCATTTCTTTCCAAGTGTCAACGTAATCAACATCGCTGAATATTATTGAATTGTCTTCTCTTCTTGGAAAACTCTCAGCTTCTTCCTATTGTATAATATTTACAAGTAATGTGGGTAATGAATGTGTTATTTATCTTACTTTGTAAGCCATAGGCCAGTGAATGAGATACAAATCTAAATAATCCAATCCCAAATTCTTCAAAGTGTCTCTTACAGCTTTCTCTACCAAGTCCGGTCGGTGGAAAGTGTTCCACAATTTACTGGTAATGTAGAGATCTTCTCTTTTAACGGTACCGTCTGATATTTTAACTTTAAGGGCTTCCCCGACTTCCTTTTCGTTGCCGTAGATCCAAGCGCAATCGATGTGACGGTAGCCGATATCGATGGCATCTTTAACAGCTTGAGCTACTTCACCTGGTTTGGACTGGGTGAAATAAATACAAAATCAGTTCGGAAATTTATACAGGGTGTCTTGCATAAGAGCCGACACAGAGCAGGGGCGTATAGGGGTGCTCAAAATATGTTGTTTAACCCAACTTAATACAAAATTGAATGAAAAAATGAATATCCCAGTAATACTCAAAAACAAGTAAATTTGGTATAAGTTATGAGTGTACTAAGAGCATTAATCGATAGTTATAGGAGAGATCAAAAGTTATAATTCAAAAGTTGGTTGTGTTAAGTTAAGTTTAAGAACATATTTTAGGCTCCCCTACATGCCCCTGATGTTCTGTATCGGTTCTTATAGGGGACACCCTATATATCATGACCCTGCTGATACTCTTGTGAAATGATAAAGCTAGATATGTATGTGTAGTGGAATCAATGTCACAAATTTCTGTTAGAATTTAACCATTTTAGAATAATAAACGGAAACATTATAGTAGAATATTGATAATAAAACTGTTTTATTAATAAATTTCTATTGTGTGTAGCCTATTACAATAGCGAATGGAACATAAAAATTCTAGTTATCTCATTTAATGTAACATATATTACATAAATTAATATACCACTTCACTATAATCAGTTAATTGAAATTTATTTAATATAATCAATAAAATTAGATACTGATAACTGCAATTTCTAATAAATACCACTTTGGTATTAAAAATTAATATTTGCTGGTAATTTATTAAGCAATTTTCGACTGTATGTTGACTAAAAAATTCAATAAATAGTATTAACAAGATGCCTATATTGGAAATAACTGATATTTATAAATGCTTATACAATATGTAAATCACTCGAATACATTAAATTGATTATAAGTTAGTTTGAAACTCTGAAAAGAACATTAACAATGATTAGTAGATTACCTTCCAAGTTCCCAAGCCGAAAACAGGGTATTCCCTACCATTGTTGAATTTGATTGTCGGAACTTTGCCCATTTTAACCAAGGAAATGTTGAAGAGAACACTTGCGAAGCGAAAGGAACGAATAAAAGTAAATTTTTAAAAAGAATTACGAAATTATATAGATAAACTTATGTAAGTATCGAACAAGTGCCTTGTTATCAGTTTATTTAATTCCACAGGCCGATATTTACTTTCTACTCAAGTTCAAAAAAACAATTTGCAAACTGTCAAAAAACTTATTTATAGGTTATGTTTTGTTGACGTTTATGAAATATTTCGTCCTTTTCCTCTAGAGGAAAACAGCTACCAATAGCTGTTGACTTTTTTATAAATTATCCCATGGAGAAAGAAAGATATCTTTTATTTTGTCTACGAGTTCCCCTTTTCAAAAAAAAATTAAAAATTTTGAAATTGTAGGGTTCCAAAAAAGATTTTCATTTCAATAACATTTGAACACTGAAGACGATTCAATAATCAATTATCCAAAAGTAAAAACAACTTTTATTCAACATGTAAAAATCTGGTATCAATATTAATATAATTTACCCACTTTTATCAAAAATATCAAGTTCTTATACATAATAAAACATTGCATTTTTGCATATTCCACTAGGATTATTTCCATAATAAATTAATAATCATACTTAGTCTAATACTGAGAAACTCTTAAAAATGGCAACTAAACATATTTACACTATACAGTGAAGAGAACGCTTTTTACAAAAACAGAAAAACATTATAGATACTTATTATTAAAACAAAAATTAACTAACACTCGTAAAAAAGGCTCTTTCTCCATTAATTCTAAAGAAACTAAAATACATTGTTCGATTATGTACCAAACTGATTTTTTTCTTGATATGAAACTGAGCATATTCAACGGTAATATAAATAAAATCACTGAATTATTACAATGGAAAACATTGTACAACTAACTTTTTTTAACTGCTATTATCCTACATATTCTCCTATATCTTCTGGGAGCACTGGTAGAATTACTTAAACTTGGTTTACTGGAATTTTGAATCGAAGAATTAGGAATTTTCCCCGGCGAAACAACTCTTTCCTGTTTACTTATGGGTGTACTGATAGCTATCTTAGCCGCTTCTTCTACAGGTTTGGGGTTTACCTCCTTGTTATCAACAGATTCGTTTAATTTCGACATGTTGCATTCCAAATTCGACACGTTCATGGTATCCAACAAATTCATAATGCTCCTGTCGAAGGTCTTCTGAGTAGCGTCCTCCATGTTGTTGAAATGGTTCTCTTCTATATGAAGCAGAGGTATGTCTCCTTCATCGGTGAGGTTCAGAGTGGATTCCATCACCAAATTTTTGGAGAAAATTTTGAAGCCGGTTTTATTCTTGTCCAGGATATTTTTAAACGAGCACACCGGCGCCTCTTTAACTGGCGTTGGGGTGATTCTTTTGCGGGTTTTGAGTAGTTGATCAGATGTAGGCGAGACGTAAGAATTTGTATTGCTATTAGCAACAGGTTTTTCATTCGTTGTGGTTTTTAGAGGTAGATCAGTTGCAGATTTTTCTATAGTGTCAGTACTGGCTTTGTCAGGTTCCGAAGGCTTCAAATCGGCATCAGAATTCTCAGGGAGTTTTCCGGGAGTGGAATTTTTCATCTGTCTTAACGACTTCCTGCGTACAGTGATCGTTTCCGTCTTAACTCGTTTGCTATACTTTCTTTTTACTGGCGTTTTTTGCTTCTCTTCAACATCATGCATTAATTTCAACTGTTGCTCGATATCTTCGATCTGTCGTTGTTTTTGGTCGTTCAAATCGAATTCAACTTTTCGCTTCTTTGGAGGATTGTTGATTTCCAATGATTGTTTCTCTCTGATTTTATTAATTTCTTCTTCTAAATTCTTAGCTTTGTCTATTTCTATCTTCCTGTTGGGCGAGCTCGAAGAGAGGTCGAGAGGAGAGCGTTGATCTTGGATTTCTTTAGGGATTGGTTTATCTGCAATCTTGTCACTAGAATCAGTTGATTTTGTTGTGTCCTGCATTTCAGTTGCATTGGATTCTTCTTGGCATTTTGTTGTAGATTTTGCTTGTGATAGGATTAAATCATTTTCCACTTTATTACTATTATCTGGCATATTTGGTCGTTCGGAATGTATTGTAACATCGCTTAGAATAATAATGTTGTTATTACTATTATTTAATTCCACGTTTGTAATACTGGGTTCCACCAATTGATTACTATCATCTTCCAATTTACTAGTACGTTCGATATTAGTTTCTTTGACTTTCTTTTTAGTAACTGAATTATTTTTGATAGGGGATGCAGATTTGCGTTTTCTTTTATTATTTTTTAGAGGAGATTTTTGTGCTACTGCAGAAACTTTTTGTAAAGCTGAATCGCTTATATTTCCCATTGAAACCTCGTCTAAAGTTTCCTTAGAACTTTTACTTTCACAGTCATTTTTCTCTATAACAAGTTGTGATTTGGTATTTAGTTTATTCGTTATGTTATCAGATTGAGAATTAGTTTCCTTATTCTTCAAATTAGTCTGTTGTTGATCATTCGAATGTGTACTCAGAATGGTTTTCTCGGGCTCAGGTGGACGTTCTGATGATTTACGAGTGGATGATAGTGAAGGAGCTTTAGTAATCTGGGAACATTTCGTTCTTCGACTAGTGTAATTAGCTTTTTCGTGTTCATCCTGAAGCGCGTAGACATTTTCTAGGGGCGAAAAAGATTTCTGGGGAGATTCGACTGGTTTCACTACCGATTTTGTTACACTACGTGTGTTTTTCGAGATAGATTTTTGACCACTTTCGTCATCGAAGGATTGAATTGTACTATTATCTCCTTTGTGCTCTCGACAGGTTTCTTTAAAATCATTTTTAGTTTGTACATTCTCTTTTTTCGCGCTTGAATCCCGATTTAGCCGGGATGCATTTTTTGATGTCTTTTGTTCTTGTTCTAGTTCGTTTCTCGTATCAGCTTTTTGAGTATCATTCTTGAATTTAGAACTTTTCAGTTCACTTCTAGGCGATCGTCTTGGTTTGTCTTTCTTCTCTTCAGGGATATTTTTACTTCGTTGTTCTTGGAGTAGTTCGTTTATGATTTTCTTTTTCAGTTCGCATATCTCGACTTCATCCATGTGGCTAAAACTCTCGTCACTGGAAACATTCTCAAGAGTGTGATTAAGGATATTAGTCTCTTCTACAGGTTTAGGTGTTGTGTCTTTAGCGTTTCCGTTTGTTAACTGTTCTTTAGGTAATGATTCTATCGGAGGAGTGAAAGTTCTCAACAAACTTTGCTTTTGTAAGTAATCTTTAACGCTTATTTTCTTTGGTTTTGGTTCTAAATTTTCATTAACTCGTCTAGTATCTTCTTGATCTTTTGTAATTGCGTTGGAGCCTGGACTAACATCTCTTCGGTGCCTGCAAGATTAAAAATATTTTAGTGTTATTTTTTACGAAATAATTTGTTAATTGATTTGAAATTGAATTGATATTTGTTATTAAATTATACCTACCCCCCTTCGAGCTGCCTTTGTTCAAACCACTGTTCATTTTCAGTTGTATCCCTGCTTTTTCTCCTTTCAATGTGATCCCTCAAATCACCTACAAATTTATGTTTTCTACTATTATTGTATCTGTATTCTCGATTATTGTTTTCTCTACTTTTATCCCTTTCGACATGGCTATTACAACTCACATCTGTATCTCTACTTTTGTTGTGGCTTTGTTCATATTCACCTCTACTTCTACTTTTATCTCTTCTCCTTTTGTCATATTTTTGTTCATTTTCGATTTGAATTCTACACTTAATAGAATCTTTAGAATTGGTTTCTATTTTATCATTTAAACTAGTTTCAAAGCTTCTCATGCTGTCTCTCGATTTTGATCGAGATTTAATATCTTCAAAAACCTTATCAAAACAGTCTGAATATTTAACAGCGTATTCTTCGATTTGATTCATGTGTTTCTCACTTTCTTCATTTTCAAGTCGATTCTTACTCTCAAAGTCTTTAGAATTGGTATGTCTTTTATCATTTGTAATCGTTTCAGGCTTTTTCGCTCTCTCTTTCGATTTTGAACGCGATTTTGTTTCTTTACTAGTATTTTCAGTATAATTACTATTGTATTTTTCTGTTTGATTCGTGTAATTCGCGTTTTCTTTCCTACTTTTGTCGTAATTTCGTTCATGGTCAATTCTGTGTTTATTTTCAATATAGTCTTTAGAACTGGTATCTATCTTATTATTTGTGCTTTCGACTACCCTTCTTGTTCTATCTTTCGATCTGGATCGTGCATTTTTGTCTCTGTAATTCTCCTCGTTACCAATTTTTTCTTTACTCTCAATGGTACTCGAATGTCTGTTATCATTCGTAATTGTATCTGCTGTTCGTGGTCTTGATCGCGAATTTGTATTTTTTAAGTTCTCGTAATGATTTGTATGTTCAGTCTTATTATATTCTTTAGACTGAAACCCATAATTTTCATTTCTAGAAGGGTTTGTTGCATTCATTTTATTATTAACTGCAGGTCCTTGACGATCGGAGAAAATATTTCTATTGTGGTCTTTATCATCGACAAGTTTAGAGTCAACATTCTCGTTAATAATGTTATTAACATTGTTGTCACGGTTTTTATCAACATTGATATTTCTATTTCTAAAATTTGATATCCTTCTGAACGTAATGTTGTCTAGTTGTCGTTGTAGATCTGCAATGATAGCATCTTTCCTTTCTAATTCAGATTTCGCAGTTTTAAGTAGAGACGATAGATTTTTCTCCAGACTTCCTTTTTCCTCTTGCACTACTTCTAGGGCCTCCTTTAATCTTATCAAATTGGCTTCTTGTGATTCTATGTGCTTCTGCAACTCTTCGTTTTCCTTTTGGCACTAAAATTAAATATATTAATGATGAATTTATTTTTGTAGGTTATGTTGTTTTGTTGCTAGATAATTTTATTACTCACATTTTCGATTTTCGTGCCTAAATCGTATTCAGAATCATCCAATTCTTCGTAAATATCAATATCATCGTGAGCTTCTATTTGCGGATCCATTACGCATTTGATTGTATTGTAAACAACGTACTGTTTTATAAACTGGATAAATGTATGGTGGTTACTCAAATAAATTAAGAATATACCATACGTTTCTTAATTTTGTGAAAACTCAAAAACATAACACAAACATCAACAATAAATGGTGCACTTTTTCAAAAATAGTAATGTTGGCAGCACTGGCGAACTGTCAAACTGTCAAAGAACGATTCCGGCGTTGCCAGGTTTATTTATCGCTTGATATTTTGTAAATAAATATTGTTGTAAGTTGTATTTATCGAATATTTATGATATGATTATTTTAAATAGTTATTATTCGTTGGAGGAGGTGTAGTGACTTGAGCGATTTCTTGGTTTTTAGTCGGTGATTAAAAAAATTGGCAACGTTGTTTGAAAGTCGGTTATGTCTGGCAATGCGCGGAGAATCGACGCGAGAAAGTGAAGTTGACTTGACAGCATTCCATTCCACCGTTGCGTTTGTTTTGTAAAGTGTCGGAGACCGCGGTTGACACGATCACACCTTGTGAAAAAGTTTTACGCAGACTCGCGAAAATTTGAAAATTCGGCGTTCCGTAGCGGCGGAAAATCATGTAGAACGCAATCCGCGCCGCAGTTTCTAGTGGGTGAAGTGTTGGAACGGCCGACGTTGATGGATTTCGCGTTGTAATTAAATGTTTCTGTTTGTTAGTGCGAATTTTCGTGGTGGTGCCTTCACAACAGGTAAGAGAATCGTTCGGTACATGTTTTTCCGGTTTAAGATGTAGAGTTGCACGCGCTGTGCGGCCCAGAGAGGAGTTTGCGATTAGTTTCCGAACAATGAGCGATTAAATTAAAATGTTGGAAAAGTTCAAAAGTATCGGCGACAGGTAAAAGCCGCGTTCACACAGTGGAATTCACCGCGTTAGATTTAAATGTCCAGTTTGGGTCAGCCTCGTTAAGGCTTCCTTTCGCGTTTATCGAGAATTAGAAGTACTATGAATACAAATGTTAGCTAAAACCGCTCGTTTGGAATACAAATAACGAGACAAAGGACGAAAGAAGCGTTTTTTTTTCGCATAAATATTAAAATACCTATGCTTAGGTGTAAATCGGGTTTCCAAGAATTCGTAATTTTGTACAAGGTTAGTAGTTTTACTCATTCATTGTGGTTTTTATGATGAATGAGATGTATCGGTGCAGGAAAGTCACTTAAGTTATCCTTGTTACAAAAAGACAGGTAGAAAAAAAATCGACCATCTCGAGAACTTTCATCTATAAAAATTGGTCTAGGTTTAGAGTCTTAAAATATGCCCGTGTTACATGCTAAATATCCGTTATCTTATCTGATTAAAAGTAAATTATTATTCTTACCTTTTTGTGAAAGTTTTAACGAGAATTCAACAAACTGTTAAAACGGTCTGTCTGATGTGTTACTCACAAGAATTGATCGGGTGAATCACAATGTTTCCAGCAATTTAAAATTCTGAAGAAAAGTAATCAAATATTTGCACACTAGTTTTTTGTGGGAGATACAGCTGACTTTGGAAGTTTTAGAACTTATTTTTGAGGTTTAATAGTCTACTTAACTGTTACAAAAGGCAGGTATTAAGTTACATTTAGAAATGATTCATGTTTTATGTTTCCCTATTCATAATTTTTTCAATTAAAAAAGTTATTAAATCCGGGTTTCCCAAACTCCTGAGATGATTTAATAAAAGTATTTTAATTGACTATATGACTCGTCTGTGGATTGCATTGTGAGCAAACCTATTATCTATTAAATTCGAGGAAAACTATAAATTCGCCTCGTTTTAAATAATTGCTCATAATTTTAGCACTTATATTTAAGGGCCCAACCTGTTTCAAACTGGATAATTAACTTCAAATTTTAAGTAGACCATAAACGGAGGCGATGCTAGAAATTCACGACTCTTCATTAAATTTCAAATAACCCGTAGTTATCAGACTTTTAGGATAATCTTCATTTACCCTATTGTAATAATAACACTCTTGGTAATTCAAAATATGGAGACTTAGAGAAGAATTAGACTAAACCTACAGAAAAAAAGTACACCTACTTTATTACTATACATATTACAAGAAAACGTGCTCTTGTGTCGGGCTCCTAAAATTGATGTATTTCATTAAAAAACAATAAACACATATCGGTAATGAGCGAAAGTCATTAAATGATAGTTTGCTGGCGTATCAACTCAACACATGTTTAACCTTTAACGATTACCCAGATTGAGTAATTACCGCGTTATGTAGTTAGAGCACGGTTAGCTAAACAATTTCCATCGGAATGAGGAACATGAAAATACTTTTCTAAATAAATTAGTTTTAGTTCTGTAATGAAGTCCTTCTATTAGCATCGTTATCCACTTAATTTACATCGAACATTGAAGGTCTATTTGAATTTTTGTGCCATCTGATTATTTTTTTACTGTGTATCTACTCTGTAAGCTGCGCAGCATCTTGGCGTAGTGGAAAAATTATGCAAATTCACTATAGTCTAAACATCTATTAGTCGTAAACGGTTTTAATTAAATTCAATTGGCTTTGAATTCCCTATTATAAACCCACTATGTGATCGTTTGAATCGGGAATCTAAACCTTTGTATTTTAAAAGCCACGATTTGAATTATTTTCTCCTATTACAGATATACACTCCCCAACAAATTAATGGCGTTCTAAAAGCTATAAATTTTTCCCAATTGAAAAACAACTCAATATAGGTAGGTAACGCATTTTCAAACATCTGTAATCGTGCCACTTAAAGCTCGATTTCTTTCATCTATCAGTCGGCTCGAATTTTCTGAATATTTCTGAGATCCACTTGACGCTGATGTCATAAATTTCTTGAATGTTTCCGATACGGCTTTCGAGCGTATTAGTGCCCCATTCCTAAAAATAGTCGAGAGCGAGATAAAACTAAACAGATCATCGGAAAGCGCACCTTTCCGTGTTTGACTTTCACATACCACAGAGATTAACGATAATAATTACAACCGTCGTAAATCTCCTTTATAAAAGGGTACTTTATTCGCAATTAGGTACAAGTGGGAGATTTGGGCATAAAAACTCCCATTTACACTCGGTTTATGTGAATATTATAATGCACCAACAACAACAGATAGATGATATTAAAAGCAAATCGGGGTTGCCCTTTTTTGTACGCGGAGTACCTACCCCTAATGGCTCGATTTCTTCCTTCCTGTTAAGCGGGTTTCGACCCCTTTTACTTTGGAGGTCGCCGTCTGATATCTGCTCGCACAATCGACGGGAAGTTGAATAAACTAAGTTACACGAAAAAAAGTTACTAGGTCATATATAAAATGTAAAATATATCCTCTATTATCTAAGAAGATACCCACTGGAATAATACAAATCTACACAAAAAAACACGTATTTCAAAAAATATGTTATTTTTTTCATAACAATCAACTTTATCTGAATACAGATTAATTGAAGTTTTTTTTATTAATTTACATACATAATTTCTTAGCAATAATTTTATTATCTAATCGTTTAAAATAATTTTTTTCGCCGTGAAAATTCGCTGACAAATGACCTACTTATTTCAGAATGAGATTGGTTCGATTGAATAAAATTCGTTTCTCTTTGATTCCCTATCAAACCTATAATAGCAATTTGATTATAATTCGATAATCCGTACTAACAGGTACCATGCCGTCAACTTGCTACCCAAATCGTATTGTAATAACCGTTTCTCCTCATATACTAGCACAGGGAGTGCATGTAGGAAACGGTTAATTTTTTGGAACGTTTTTCGCGTTCGGGCTTGATTTTAGACAAAATGCCCGTTTAATTGTATCAACATTTAACTGTTTACATTGTCGAGTTTCAGTCTGAATGGTCTTTGTGTTACTTTACAAGAAAGTTTTTTTTTGAATAGGCTCACGTTTCAAGCTTCATGTAAAAAGGTAATAAATTACAATAACGATAATGTAAAACGTGAAATATTGAGAATGGGTTTGAATTATTAGTTTTTTAATTACGTTGAAATAGTGTTTTTTTCATCAGCATTTTCTTTAGAATCTTGAGCCGTAAGGTGTAAATTTTGAATGCAAATTAACGAGGGCGTTTAAATTTAGAAGTTCATCACTCGGGTAAAATCAATTTCAGTCGAATTAGAAACATAAATGCGATTAGGGAAGTAAATTTGTCTATAACGACAACGACGGGTCGTCAGTGACGTCGGCTAACTGGATTTCACAGATTTTCACCGATTTATTACGTTCGCGATGAGCGATTTTTTAAATTAAATTGCAGCAGGAAAAAGTCAGCCGTATTCGACACCGTGAAAAAATAATCTTTGCACAAAAATAGAAATAATATGATTGCAAGTCAACGAACCGTAAATATTCCGTAAAAATGAACCGTTTCTATTTGTTTTACGCGGTGGATGTTTTACGCATGTTTGCAGCCTCTTCGAATCTCACAATAAATATTTACTGAAAGTGTTACTTTCAGTTTTTCCTTTTGGAACCAACTAAAATAAATTCCTAAATTGGATTGGAATTATTCCATGCTTTCATCATATTTTCTATAAATAAACACAACAGTTAAAGTGCACATTTATTGGTAAATTAAGAACTACCGAAGAATATCTAGGTTAAAGCGACAGAACGATATTTTTTGCACATTCTCAAATGACTATAATTTTCAAGAAAGTTCGCATAGGTGCATTCAATTTTCTAATGGTTTCCGATCAATTAATCTGTCTCTGTTATGCTGGTCGTTATGGCATTCCGGTTGTTGGGCACGTTAATTTTCGATTTTCACTGCAAAGAATTGCAACGCGATTAGGTCTACGCCCACGCATTATGGTCATTGGTTATTTAGGTAAGGTCATCGGCAATCGCATCAATTAAACACCAAAAGATCAAAATACATAGTTTCCCATTGAAAAATGTTTACCCGATACGAGTAAAATAGTATATGGGGTTTTGAAATTAGTATTTAATTCCACTATTTATGGTCATGAGCAATACTTTACCATTAAAATGCATAACTCAGATAAGCGACTCATAATGAATCTACCGGTGTTGAGGCAAGAGAAAATGTAGGTATTACTTAAAATGATACGTGCATACAAATAATACCTTACACGGTGATGACTCATCCTTCGAGAATGCCCGTTTTAAGTGGTGAAATTTTTTAACAACCGCAGTTAAAATAAAGCCACACATATGCATACATGAGACAATGCTGTTTGTCTCTCTGCTCTCTTTATCTCTAAAGATACAATAGTTATTCAAATTCTATACCACACCTCGGTGTTAAATCAATTTTTTGATAATCAATATAGTATTTGTTTGGTTACCTATACAATCCCTAAAAAGTATTGATAAATTATTTGCACCCAAAAATAGTGAGTAGCCTTTTTTATTATCGAAGTCTTGATTAATCTGATCTAATCCACAATAAAACGCCTTTATAAGGATCTCGATTTGTTAAAACGCATTATCTCCTTAGAATAATATTTTCCTCAGTTTTAATTATGTACTTACGTATATCTTAAGATTTATAATAGGTCTGACCTTGTATTGGCATTAGATTGCGCATTATTTTATTTTATCTAAGCTACTCTGAATATAACATCGTGCAAGAAATATGCCAGAGAAGGGTCAAGGTGGAGTTTCTTATTATTTATAGTGTACGTTTTCAGAGGAGACTTATCAATGAAAAGGTAAATAAAAATCAGCATTTTTAGG